AGGGTTGCGTGAGCGAGACCACCAACTGCACTCAGCCTGCGGCAAACGCAAGAACTCCATCTCAAAAAAAACAAAAAAACGAAAAGAATCATTCACTGGCTGAAAGCCTTCACGAAGCTCCCCAGGTGGACTCGACTCCTGTAACCTCCTGTCCTCTGTCATCACAGCTATCTTGTACCTACACCTTTAACAATACTTGCTCATTGTTCATGTCTGTCCTCTCCCTTTCTCGACTCGTGGAGCCTTGCTTGAACTCGTTAATTCACGTCCTAGCCAACCGCTGTCTCGACACACCTTACTGCAGTTCCTTAAACAAACATCTCCGTACAGAAAGGAGGCGAGAAAGAATCGTTCCAAAATACTTGAAACCAGACTCAGGGCTGCGATCCCCACAACCCCTCACCCCCTCGCTGGACCGAATAGCCCATCGCGCCCCACAGCTACACGTGGTCTCTTTTGAGTCGATGCGGTACACATGACTTCTTCCAATGATTCTTCTTTTTTTTTTTTCCTTCCTTTGTTTTTTGAGACAGGATCTCCCTCTGTCATCCAGGCTGGAGTGCAGTGGCATGATCATGGTTCACTGCAGCTTTGACCTCCTGGGTCCAAGTGATCCTTTCACTTCAGCCTCCCAAGTAGCTGGGACCACAGGCACTTGGCCACAAAACATAATTTTGTTTATTTTTTGTAGAAATGAGGTCTCACTATGTTGTCCAGGCTGGTCTCAACTCCTGGCCTCAAGTGATCCTCCCACCTCAGCCTCCCAAAAGAGCTAGGATTACAGGTGTGAACCACCGTACCCAGCTGGTGCAATGACTCTTGATTTTATGCTAACAGAGCCATTGAGGCATTAGTTGGGACTTCACTAATTTAGAGGGAATGACAAGGTGGATAGTTTTATTTTATACCATTTATAAACACAGGGTTCATTAAACTAAAATACTGTGATTATAAACAGGAGCAAGCATTTCAAGTAAACGTAAACACTTGATGAGTAACACTTTCTATATAAACACTGGATAGACTGAATTAGGAAATATTTTCATCTGTTCATTAAAACATATTTCCCTTAAGACCTACACAGAGGAGCAATTTATTAGCATAGTTCCACTAGATTCCTGAAGGTAATAAAACTGAGTTTCTTTAAATATACTTTGATTCAGACAAACCAGCTCTTGTTAGCTGAACCTAGTCATTCTGAATTAACTATGCTTGAAGTTCTTGGTACTGCAGAGAGCAGAGTGATTCATCTAAATGGTGTATCTTTGTAGCTTGTCTCATAAAATTGCTGGAAACACAGAGAAATTGATGTTGTTTTGGAGGTGATGGTGGCATCCCTGGTATACTTTGGCCTCTGTATTTGAATTTCATAAACCCAGTGGCTTTCTACTTGTAGGGCAGCTGTGGCAGCAGCCTCAACTCTCAACAAGAACTCCTCCTACCTTCCCCTCCTCCAACCCCCCAAAAAAGCTACAACCACAAAAGCCCACATCTGTATACATACACATACACATAGAACTTTCCTGTCACATAAGGGTCTTAAATGAAGAAAATCAGAGACTGGTCATGGAGGATCATCCAGTTAGAACAGAAGAAGGATCCTGTGGGGAGGAGACCTTGCTACACACGAGTTCCCCTGCCTATAAGAGCGAGGAGGTGGCCGGGCACGGTGGTTCACACCTGTAATCCCAGCACTTTGGGAGGCCGAGGCGGGTATATCACTTGAGATCAGGAGTTCGAGACCAGCCTGGCCAACATGGTGAAACCCCGTCTCTACTAAAAACACAAAAATTAGCCTGGTGTGGTGATGGGCACCTGCAATCCCAGCTACTTGGGAGGCTGAGGCAGGAGAATCGCTTGAACCCGGGAGGTGGAGGTTGCAGTGAACCAAGATGATGCCACTGCACTCCAGCCTGGGCAATAGAGCAAGACTCCATCTCAAAAAAAAGAGCAAGGAGGCCTTTAGGGATGGACTATGCCCCCAAAGTAGGGTCGCAGGAATTTCTTCCAGCTGTGACTTACAGCTGGAAGTAAAATGTCCTGGTGCTATGGTTTCAAGGAACTAATGAGATTTTGGGAAGAGCTGGGGTGAGTGAAAATAACCTCCTCTCCCCTCTGAGAGCAATGTTGGGCTCCTGGGACAAAGTCAAGCCCTTAACTGAGCCTCCCCAGAGGCCAGGTCACAGCTAGACACATAGGCAGAAGATCTAAGAATTCCAGTAGCTTCCTCCTGCAAAGACCCAC